TGTTCCTCGCCCGCGGTCGGGGCAGCGGTCTCGGCGGGAGGGCTGCTGACCCCCCAGGCACCGGCTGCCCTCCGCCGTGCCCCCACCGCAGCAGAACCTGGGGGAGGAGACGGTCGGGCTAAGGCGGCCGCTCACCCCACCACCTCCGCTACTCCCCAGAGGGCGCAGGGGGGGTTGCCGTCTACTCCAGGGTCCCAGAAAGGGGGAACCCTGGGACACACCAGGCCCCTCTGGCAAGCACCAACTCTTGTGCAGCCGCGCTCTCCAGAGACCGTGCTGGGTGGCAGGATGCGTCTCTGGAGTCCCTCCCGTGCCTGATTCTGCGCCAGTTACCAGCGCCTTGCAGTTTCACTCACGGTCCCAGCGCCGAGCTGCCGGCGCGTCAGGTCCCGAGGTTGGTGCCCAGCGGCCAGCGTGTGAGGCGTCCTGGCCGAGCGGCCCCGGGGCCCCGGAGGAAGCACACGGCTGGCGGCCCAGCGCGGCGCCAGCAGAGGGCAGTGGGCGCCCTGGCCCTGCTTGGTCCGCTCTGGCAGGCGTCCGGGGGGAGGCGAAGCTTGATCTGATCTTGAGGTACATGTAGCCGTTGGAAGGGGCAGAGCACTCGCCAGAGGAGAGCTGGAACTGGAACTGCGCCCCGCCCAGCAAAGAGGTATTTGACCAAGCGCGAATCAAAGCGTTAAAGGGTGAAAGTAGTCAGTGCTGAGAGTGGACTAGGCGGTTTCACTTGACGTCAGCATTTAGGGTCGCCTAGATGGAAGTGGTGCTGTACAGTTAGCACGTTTCCCCTTACGCCGGCGTCTGTTGGTGCAAGCACATTTGAAAAGAGTGCGTGTCTCCACTTCCTTCCGCCCAGAGCCACTTCCTGTATCATCTAGCACTTACCTGATGTTTTCCGCTGCTCATCCCGGCTGGCTAGTTGACAGCATTTAGAAATTCTCCTGTGCTGTGCTGCTCCCCCTGGTTTGTTTCCCCCGAGCCCTAGGTACTCACCCCAATAGTGGGGACATTTTATTTTCCTTCTGTATCTGCAGCTTTGGGATCTCAGCAACAGAGCCACAGAGTCAGTCACCTTTTCAAATGGTACTTAAAAGGCCTGTTGAAGAGAATATCCAGGATACGGAATCTGCAGTCTCAGAAAGGACTGTTACCCGCATTCAACTTATTATCTACATTAAGTTCATTAAATTCACATTCGCTTTGCCTCCAGACTTTCCCCCTCCAGCCAGGTGACCCCTGTGAGTACCCCGAGCTTGCTCTAATTGATGAGCATTTGCCGCCAGTGGTGATTTTGATGTTCACAAGCTAAGTAATGAGAAATGGAAGAGTTTTTCGAGCCACGTGGGCGAACAAACCCAGCTCCTTATTTTATGAAGAAAAAAATGGGATGATTGCATTTGTTGGAGTAGAGGGCACATGTGGAGAGGGCCTGCGGGCCAGCGGCCGGCCTCAGGAGGGAGGGAGCGCCCCCACGCTGCAGCGGGGCCAGCAGCGCCCACAGCCCCCGGCCCCAGCAGAGGGCCTTCAGCATGCAGGGACATTGATCTCTGGGAAGGAAGGCAAACGCATCCGAAGGGGTAAAGAAGGAAAACGGCTAAGGCATCCTTTCCCTGTGATAATTATTTATGAGGTCAATAGAATGTATCTCCCAGGCAGTTTGAGTAAAAATGGGTGATAATGCAGATACATACAGTTGCCTTGCCTCACACAGTTACATGATCAGTCAGTGGAGTGACACTTATTACTGATCACTCCGTGGAGTCTGCTTTCGGGTGCAGCGGGGAGGTAGGTGTGTCTGAGAGACTCGTCCTGGGGGGTGCTGTGGAGGTAAGTGGGTACTGGAGAGGAGAGAGGCAGGCTGAGCCCTGGGGGAGGCGGGGTGGGGCCTGACCGCTCACTTCACCAGCCGGCCTCAAACTCACGGGGCTCGGAGATGAGGCACACTGTCCCGGCCAAGTAGTCGCTCCTGTTAGAATGCGCCGCGTGTAGCCCGAAGCTGCAGGCAGTGCGGCTGCTGTGGGAGGCTGTGAGTTAGACTGAGGCTTAGAGACAGCAGTTCCCACAGTCGGTTGACAGTGGCGAGGGGTTGGAGGGTCTTCTCCTGAGGAGCACAGAGCAGGAGGCCGGAGGAGCGCCTGCGGGCTGGCCACCCAAGCGCTTTGGGAAATCAAGGCAGGAAAGCTCGTCGCATCCTCGAGGCCCTTCCTAATTACTTGCCAATGGAGACTGTTAAAGATGCCTTTCTTTTGGGTGATGCTTGTTTCTAGCAAACTAATCAGGCTTTGCTTCATCCAGAACCGGTAACTCAGCCCAGCTCGATTTGCAGGCAGCGGCTCGTACTTCTGAGACCCTCTGTTCCTTTGCTGTAAACATGAGTAAGGGATATTTAGCCCCATCTTAGGGAACATGCTTGTTATTCAGTTGATGTCCTTCTTCCATGACCCCCCACTTCCTCACACACTTCCGCCTCGGCCCGGTTGGAATCTGGCCCAGAATGCCTTGCAGCCAAAACAGATGCTGAATCAGTATTATGGGATCTCACTCATGCGCCTTCCTTCTTAATCACGAGCTTGCTTGTTCCGACTGAGCATTAAGGTACTTTGTTCTTTTCTTGGGGCCATTTTCTAAAAGTTTCAGCTCATTAAGCTGTAAAATGTAATTTCTTAGGGGAAATGCAAGCATCACAGTGGGCTGGAAGCATCCCGTCGGGCCAGGCCTGGAATAAGAACTATCTGGTGTTCCAGGCTGGACTGAGGGCACTTTAATGGGCCCCTCCGCCCCTGTTGAAGCTCACTTGGGTCGAAAGCAGACTTTTGTGCCTGATGACACGTGCGTGATGACGCATCATTGCTTCTGGCCTGCGGGCGATGGTGATTAAAGACAGCAAGCAGGGCCAGCCCTAAGCTGGGCACACACAGTGTCGACGTTGTACCCACCAGAGTCTGACTCCGTTGCGCTACTGGACAACTCTGTTGAGTGACTGGGTTTGGACGACTGAGTTGATGGCTCCTACAGTGTCTCCCATAGATGTCAGGGGGCAGGCAGACTGCAGTCTCACTTGTCACCCACCTGGGCACCGCCATATTTACAGAATTGCCAGAACTGCTGGGGACCATTGATTTGAGTTCTGGATTGGACTTATTTTGGAATTTAGAAGGGAAGTAATGTTCAGACTGTACGACTGTGGTGAATAAAGTCTCAGGCACTCTTAGGCCAAGAGCTTATTAGATGCTCAAGGTGAGGATTTAAACCTGGGGAGGAACCCACACAGAGACTGCCCATGGGAGCACTTCTGCAGACACTAGCCCACTTCCACATCGTAGCCAGGCGCCGCGAGTCGTGGGCACTTAGCGGGAAGCTGCTCCTGAGCGGGGGGCTTCCGCTCCGGCGTGTCCAGACCCACGGCCAGACCGTAGTAAAGGAAGGCCATGCAGGACCCCGTCTCCTTCCCTGTGAAGAGATGCGAAGGCTGGACACCCACTGGTACATAGTTGTTACCTGAAAACACTGGCTCGCCCCTCAGGCAACGCAGAATTCTGCATTCAAGGTGCTGCGTGCGTGTGGCGAGGGCGTGCTCGTTGCTGGCCGCAGAAGGGCGGGTCCCGGGAGATTTTACACGTTTGCATCAGCAACACTCGGGAGCACGCGGAAGCCCCTCTGGCCGGACCCAGTATTGCTCAGCAGAAACGCCTAAGTAGGCAGACAGCGGACTGGCCGAGGCTAATCCGGGGCCCGGGCGCCCCGCCCGGCAACGAGGGGCCAGAAGCTGCGCGCGTGACCGCCCGGGGGCAGGGCCTGGGCTGCCCCTTACCTCCGGCGCAGACAAAGACACTGGAGCGCGGGGGCTTGTCACATCCCGTCAGCAGCGAATAAGGGTGGGAGTCGGAGCTCAAACCCAGGCATGTGCAGGGCGTCACTAGCCTGCCCACGGTGCTCGAGGGCAAGGTCACGCCGCAGTCACCCTGCCCTTCCCGGTCCCTGTGAGAGAGAGCAGGAAATGCGGGTACTTGGCCAGTTACTGGTGGGCCGGTCTGCGAACTCACTGGGGGTGTGGGCCCAGGTGGGGTCAGGATGGGGCGTGACGGGGCGGTGTGGTCAGGACCGCCTGCGGCGCCGTGGCCAAGGTCGGGGAAGGTCAGCTGTGAAACTGCCTGACCACCGCCGGCGGCTACAGCCCCGCGGGCCCCGGGGGTGACAGGCTGCTCAGGTGAGGGGACTGCGGGCCAGGCGTGGGCTGTGGGGGTGACCGTCTCTCTGTGCCCTTCTCTCTCCTTGCTGGACTGACCGCTTGGTCTCATGTTTTCTCTTTCTAGGGGGACCGAGGCGCACCTGGGGTTCCTGGGCCTCCTGGCAGCCGTGGTGACCCGGGCATCGGGGTTGCTGGGCCTCCTGTGAGTCCTTGTTCGTCCACAGCTTCTTTGCTCCTGGGCCAGGCAGCCACTCCCTGGGGTCCCCCGACGTAGCCTGGGCTTGGCTGTGGGGACACCCCCTCTCCAGCTAACCTGGGTGTGGGCCACTGGTCCGAGGGTCGGTCAGAGTGCAGGTGTGTCGGCGGCGGCTGGCCGTGTTACTAAAGCTGGGTGTGTTTCTTGGGGGAATGCAGTTTGGGGGGGCAAGACTGGTTTGACTCATAGAGAAGTGAGCAGGCACAGTGGGGCTGCACTTTAAATAGAGGAAAAGAAAAGACAGACCCACTCGGCAAGAGCTGAGTTGGAGCAAGTGGCGTGAAACGGAATTGGCTGGGTAAGGGGTGTGATGCGGGCGAAACAGCAGGCTTTCACACATTCCGGGCGAAAACGGGGTGGCCTTAGCCTCCGCCTCTGATCAGGATCAGGGCGAGCGTGATGGGGCTAAGAGCAGTTCGAACACAGCCCCAGAGCGAAGCCCAGAAAGGAGCGTTAGCTCTGACGAATGACTCATACCCCTCAGGAGGGTGAGTCCGCAGGTTCCCTAGAGGTGGTAGATTTGGGGGTTCTAAACCTTGGCGTTTTAGGGGATCGTGAGGTTCAGTGTCGCCGGGCCCCCCAGGCTGGAGAGGTCTCCAACCCTCTGGGCCGCCCCAGCTGGCTGTGCTGGAAGGAGAAGGCACGCAGCTGGTGGCCTGGGCGGGAATGCAGGCAGGGATGGCCAGAGACGCTGGGCGATTCTCTTCAGAGAGCAGGACACGGTGGCCTGTGGCCTCCACTCGTTGTGTCGAATTCTGCCCTTCTCCCCCTTTCTGCTGAGGGGTACCATCAACACTGCGGCCAGTCTTCAGAGCTGGGGCTTTATCTCTCCCGTTTCGTTCTCTCTGAGTGAGAGACCAGGCCTTGTGCAGGCACCTCCCAGACGCGTTTACTTTTTGCCTGACAGCCTCAGTCGAGCCCAGCAGTTATAACAAAAATACCACAGTCCAGAGGGCTTTCAACAGCACAGACTGGCGTCTCACAGCTCTGGGCCTGGGGTCGAGGCACCGCAGATACTGACTGACCCCTTCCTAGTTCGTGGGTGGCGGCCTGTTCCGAGTCCTCTCGGAGGGAGGGGGCGCGGGCCCCTGGGGTCCCTCACAGGGCGCTGCCCTCATGACCCAGTCATCTCTCAAAGCCCCTCTCCAGCCCCACCCCTGGGCATCCGCTTTCAGTATATGAGTCTTGGGGACACAGAATCTGCACAGCACATGCCATTATTTAAAAGAAGCGCAAATACCCAGTTCCTTTCCCCGTCATGGCTAAGCCTCAGACCCCTGCCACCCCTGCAGAGGTGCTGCTGTGATTCTCACGATTATTTTAATCCAGCCCACATGCCAACTCGGCCCTACTAAACGTGATGCAGATATAAACCAGAGCAGCGGCTGTCCCGCTTCTGGGTTTTTGCTTAAGCAACACAGAGCACACCCCCCAAGTAATTAAAGCGTGCCCATTCTCCATAGGCCCTCAGAAGACACACAAGGAAATCCAACTCATCCCCCACAATCTCTCTTACAAAGTACGACGCCTGTCCCTCCCCCACGGCTCTCCGACACTGCAGGCTTGCGCTGGTGTCTCCGTCTGCTGGATCCTCCGGGGCTCGCTCTCGCTGCCCCGGCCCAGCCGTGCCTGTTCCCTCTCCACCGGCCACGCCACCTCCCTCCCCCGTGCTCCTGCAGTCGGGCCTGATGGTGGCAGGCGGCCCGCGGCTCTGTCTGTCTCGCGTCCCCGGAGACCGTGGGGCGAGGCGTGTGGGATCCCCTTGGGATCCCCAGTTTCAGTCTGTGTTCTTTACGAGATGTTCTCAGCTGCAGTGCCTGTGAGCAGACTCTCCGCTCATGCCATGAGCTTTACCTCTCGCCCAGGGAGGCCAGACTCATTGCTGACATCCTCCTTTTAATGGCGCCCGGCCTCCGAACCGGGCAGGTTTCCCCCCAGGCAGGAAACGCCAGGGGGCGCTGCAGACCCGTAACCTGGGCACGGTCCCCCCAACCCCGTCAGCATCTGGGTACCACGTGCTCCCGTCTCCCCTGAGGAGTCCCGAGCCCTTAACCAGAGTGGGCCCCCGCCCAGAGAAGACCCCACTCCTGCGGGTCCCCACTCCGCGCCAGCTACAGCTTCTGCGAAACACGTCCCCGCCCAAGTGGTCCCACCCAAGAGTGATTGGCCGACTCTGGCCAAGAGGCTGTAAATCAACTGCTTAGTGTCTTCCCTCCACTTGAACTTATTAAAAGCTTCCGTGGTAGATGAAACCTTATTGAATTTCCATAAATCCTGCCTCTGGCTTCGAGCCCAGGCTGCTAATGGCTGGAGACCCGGGGCGGGTTCAGGGAGGGGTGAGGGCAGGTGCGTGGGGGGTCGGCAGCGACGTGGAAGGGCCCGTGGGGAATGCAGGGCCCTCGCGGAATCCTGTCGTGCGCCACCGGGGTCTATGTCTGTCCCGTGCCGGACAGGAAGCCCCCAGACGGCCACCGCCGCTGGCCTGTGCACGCTGGCTTGATCTGTCATTTGGTGGAGGCAGGACTCCGGAGAAGATCTTTGAGAGCACGAGTCAAGGGCGAGGCGTCTCTCTGGGAAATGATCTCAGAGTGGATGCTGGCGGTGTGGGCTGGGGGAGGGAGCCACGGGCGTGCTGACGTCCAGTCCTTGCCGGGCGCACTGTCTGTGCCGGGGCAGCTGTCGGCCAGCACTTCCGGTCACATTGGAAGGCTGCTCCCCGGGGAGATGGTACCGGGGACTCCTCGCTGGCTGAGTACGTGAGCTCGCGTCCCCCTGGGCCCCAGAGCCCTGGGCAGGAGCCTGGAGCTGCCAGGCTGGTGTGTCCAGACCATTTGGAAGGGGGCCATGACGGCGTCTGCCCACGGCAGTCCAGGGGAACGTGCGGCTGGCTCAGGCCGGGCCGCATAACTGGTCTAGGGCCAGGGTCACGAGCCGGCCCAGGCCAGTGTCTCAGCTGGAGTCACCTCCCGGTTCTCCCCGCCGCAACTGGAGGACCAGAGCGATTATTCCATTAAGTCCCCTCAGAGCAGGCGTGTTCAGGGTGGATCTGGCTACGTGACTCTTCTGACCCCTGACCCACGCCCCGCCGCGCTCGAGGCCGCGGCCCCCCGGCAGCCGCACTGCCCAGCAGGGACAGGCCCGCTGCCAGCCGCGCCTCGCCCGCCGGGAGAGCTTGCGCGTGACCCTCTTGGAGCTTCGGCTTCTTGCTTTGAGGCGTGCGCAGGACTCTGCTCACCATCGGGTGGCCTCTGGTCTTTCTTCAGCAAGGTTTGGGGAGCTTACAAATAAGCTGCTCCAGCGGCCGGCCGGCCAGGGAGTGCCTGGGCCGCGCTGAATCCAGGCGCTTAAGGGCCTTGGGGGCTCCCGGGGGCAGCACTACCCGACCCTCTCCCCAGCTCTGCGTCAGGCCACCTGCAGCAGCAGGGGGTGCCGGGAGGGCGGTGGCTTGATGACCCCGGCCCCTGCCTCGGTTGGTCCCCGCGAGGAGGAGAGACGGTCACACGTGGTTCTCAAGCGCCAGACTTCTGATCTGGAGGGAGAGCTGCGCGCAGCGCCACTGTGTTCCGGCTACACCAGGCACCGGGCTGGGCACTGGGACGCGCCGGGCCGGCTCTGCCGTCTGCAGACAGCGGTGGGGGGCGGGGGGCGGGGGGCAGGATGGCGGGAGGCGGCAGCAGCAGCGGACAGTGTCCGTGCAGAGGGCGGGGAGCGGGCACCGCCTTCACGACACCCTGGGGGAGTCGGGAGGCCCCGCGGGTGGTGGCCCCAGCTGAGTAGGGCACTGGCTGTGTCCAGGTAGCGGAGGCCGAGCAGACAGCAGTGCAGAAGCTCGGCGGGCAAGGGCCAGGGGGCGGAGCTCTCCTCTGCACAGCAGGGCCACACCCTGCGACCTCACCTGCGAGTGCCGGAGTGCACCTGTGTGCACGTGTGCAAGCACCTGTGTGAGCATCTGTGTGTACTTGTGTGTGAACCTGTGTGTGGGGGTGCCTGTGTGTACCTGTGTGTGTACCTGTGCGCGTGGGCACCCGTGTGTACCTGTGCGCGTCCTGTGCGCGTGGACACCCGTGTGTACCTGTGTGTGTACCTGTGCGTGTGGGCACCTGTGTGCGTGGGCACCCGTGTGTACCTGTGCGTGTACCTGTGCGTGTGGGCACCTGTGTGTACCTGTGCGTGTGGGCACCTGTGTGTACCTGTGCGTGTGGGCACCTGTGTGTACCTGTGCACGTGGGCACCCGTGTGTACCTGTGCGCGTCCTGTGTGCGTGGACACCCGTGTGTACCTGTGCGCGTCCTGTGTGCGTGGACACCCGTGTGTACCTGTGTGTGTACCTGTGCGTGTGGGCACCTGTGTGCGTGGGCACCCGTGTGTACCTGTGCGTGTGCCTGTGGGAGCCCGATGGGGCTCTGTGGCTGCGTCAGCCACGACTGGCCCCGTGGCCCTGGGCCCCCAGCAGAGAGCAGCCGCAATTTCAGGGATTCTCAGCAGCGGGTGCTGGGCCGAGGCTCCCACCCCACCGACCCCTACCGGAGAGGCCTCGGCTGTAGGAGCCAGGTGGGTGCCGGGCAAGGCGGTGCCAGTTCAGGGGCAAATGGAGAAGGTTCCAGGATTTGACGTCAACGTTTCTGGCGATGGCAGCTGGAGAGAGGTGTGGCTGAGAGCGCGCAGGCTGGCTGCCGCCGGGCCCAGTGCCCTGAGCTCGCCGCCCTTGACGGCTCCGGCGCCTGCAGTGCTCTGACGGAGCCGGCACAGGCGGCCTCTCGCCACAGGCAGCGGCCCGGCAAGGCAGGGTGTCCACAGGCAGAAGCGGGGGCAAGGCGGTGACGCAGGAGAGCGGCTTCAGGGAAAGCCGGCCCCGGGCAGCAGGCCCTCCGCAGGTGGCCCCGGGGCGCTGCCGCGGTCTGGGGGGACCCTCGGGGAGAAGTCCCGCGGAGCTCCGTCTGGGTGGGGGCCCGGCGTCGTCAGCTCCAGCGGCCGCGTCCCTTACTGCTGTGCTTGTTTCCAGGGCCCCTCTGGACCGCCTGGACACAAAGGGCCCCCGGTACGGTAGGATGCGATACGGGCTGGGTTGCGCGGGGGCGCTGGGCGCGCCTAGGGGGGCCCTGTCGTCGCAGGCCGGGCGGGGGCTGAGGGGGTGCGTGAACCCCGCCGCTGGGCTCCGTGACGCGCCGTGGCCAGGGCCGGCCCTGGTGTGGTGGATTAGCGCAGCCTGCCGGAGCCCAGACCGAGTCCTGGCTCCCACGGCCCCGGCCACGCGGCCGTGAGCGCACGAGTGGGCGTCCTCCCTCTGGGCGGTGGGCGTGCGGGCCGCGGGGGACACGTCCCGGGCAGCAGATGCCCATTTACCAGGACGCCTGTGAACTGGCGCTGGCGGAGGACGGTGCCGCCAGGCCTGGGGGCACATGTGCGAGCCGTGCTCGCGTGGCTTCAGTGCAGCAGGGCGGGGTCCCCCCACCCCCCGTGCTTAGACGAGGCAGCCGAGCTGCAGTTTAGCCCACGGGCGGGAGACTGCAGAGCAGGAATTGTGGGTGCAGGAGAGGCCAGCGGGCTCCTGATGGGTGGGGTCGAGGCAGATTGTGAAGGGGAGCCAGGCGGGTTCACGCCCCGCAGCCCCACCGCCGGCCCAGCGCCTGCTGGCTCCCGCCGGGAAACGCCCTGGGAAAGCGAGCCCGAGGGGGCTACGGCCAGTTCCTCGTACTGTCCAGACGTTTTCCAGAGAATGGGACTGATCTTCCCGCACCCTGTGCTGGACCTCACAGGGTTCACTTTCCTGGAGGGTCAGCACCCCCAGGACGGCTCTCCCAGGACGGGCAGGGCCAGACGGACCCAGGCCCGCTCCCTGTGGCATCTGCCCCTCCCTCTCAGACCGGGCCGGGCGGGCACGAAGCTCACAGCTTTCCAGAACAGCCTGTGTCTAACGTGCAGGCGAGTGACCTGAGCGCAGCCCCTGGACACCCCGCTTGGGCCTTCTGCGCCAGCTGGGACAAGGACAGGTCTTCTCCTAAAATCTTGGGGGTGGGTGTCTTCTTTCCCTCTAGGGATCTCGAGGCTCACCCGGATTCCCCGGCCCCCAGGGACCTGCCGGCCAGGACGTGAGTGAAAGAGGGCTCCCTCGGGGTCAGGGTCCTCACACATTCGCACAGAGCCCACCCTCCCGGTCTCCCGGAGCCCTGGACCCCCAGCCGGCCCCGGGCGCTGGTCAGGGCTTCCCAGTGCAGTCCCCGTCTCGCCCCCCACGGACACGTGGGGCACCTGTGTGTGTACGGCGCTGCCCGCGGGTCCTGCCGCTGGCTCCGTCTGCTGCCCCTGTGCTCGCTGGCGTCTCCCAGCCCTCTCCGCCACGCCCCTGCTTTCGGTCCCTTCTCGACACACCCAACTGGTCATGTCTGCCAGCGGGCTCACGCCAGGGGCCGCCCCTCCAGGGCTGGCTGACCCCGCTGGGAGGGCGTTGGGCTCCCCGGCACCCCGGGGCTCTGCCCCTCTTCCCCACGCCCTCTCTGCCCACTGCCTGGCCTCTGCTCGGCTGGGGCCCCGGGCAGGGTGCGGGGCGAGCCCAGAGCTGCTCCAGCAGGGAGCCCCGTGGCTTCCGGCGTTACCCCGGACTCCAGGGCCGGTGGCCGCGGGGGCGAGTCCCGCCAGCAGAGGCTCCCGCGCCGGGAGCAGCGCTCAGGCTGGGCCCGCCCTGCCCTTCCCTGCCTGCCGGGGCTCGCGTTCCGGGGGAAAGGCGTCTCCGGACTCCTGGCTGCCCACTGTCAGCACAAAGTCTGTTTACTCACATCCTTGTGCATTTGGGGACAGCGCCTGACTCCCGCCCCGCGGTCTCCCGGAGATCGCCCCGCCAGCGCCCCCCGCACAGCCCCCCGGCCCACCCTAACCCCCCTGTGTGTCCCCGCCCCTCGCTGCCCGCCTCAGCTCCACGGTCAGCTCGCCAGTTTGGGCTTCGTCGGGCCTTTGTCCGGCCTCTCTCGGTCCCTCCGTAAGGGAGGCCGCCCACGCTCCTCTCCTGCCGGCTCTTTGCGGAGGGCAGCCGGCGAAGGGGGCTTCTCCCCGCCCACGCCACCCTCGCCTGTGTTTGGGAAGGAATGGTGGGAGCCACCGTGCGCGCGTGAGCGTGTGGGCGCGCCTCGCGTGTGCGTCGCGTGCACATGTGTGCGCACAGGTGTACATGTGTGTGCCCGTGTGTGGTGCTCTGAGTCGTTGTGGTGCTGTTTCCGCCAGGGGTGATGGTAGTCCTGGGAAAGCTAGCTTATTCCGACCTCACGCTGATTGTTTTCTGGAAGCCGTGGGTTTGCGTTTGAGAGAATGCTCGTGGGCGTGCGTGTTCCTGGTGGGGTGCTGCGTTTTCCTGCCAGGTTACGCTTTGCAGCTGTGGCGGCTGTGGCGGGGG